AAATTGCAGATCTTCTGGCACTCATGAAACAAGCCAAACATTCCCCATACCTGGCAATTTACCAATTACAAGTGTAAGAATCCATTTAACTTATTCTCTACTGAGAAAATAAAAAGTCCTATAGTGCCACCTCCACCACACACATGGAAAGGAGGGCGAGAAACAGATGCCATTAAGAGGGTTTTTTGGTTTTGTTTTTAGTCTTCAGATGCTTTGTCATGCAGCAGGCATGCAAGCAAAATCACTGTATTCACAGGAGAGTTAAAGCTAAGTCTTACTGAAAAGTGATTCACAATCTTTTTGCTCCATCTTGAAAATGAAAACAAACAAGTTCAGATAACAAAATGTTTGGTTTTAAAGTACTGACTTTATTAATAAATATACATCCATATGATGATGTAAATACAGATCATGAACACTACTCCATTCCCATACACATAACTGCACACGAGTAGCTCAAGTTCATGGACATAAAAACATACACAGTATCTAATCAGGCTTTTTACAGCAGAGGGCAGGGTGCTGATCTAAGTTACTTAATGGATAATTGTTTCCTCCAAAATGAACCTGTGGAAAAGCAAATTGTAAAAGATAAAGAATCAAAGTGGTCCAAATTACCAAGCAATGAGCATAACGTTCCTAAAAAATGATCATACCATCATCATATTTTTCATAAAAAAAATTTACCTACTTGGAAAAAAATGCAAAGAAAAAGCTCTAGTCTCTAACTAGAGTTCATAAATATATTTAAGCAACGTTAAAATATATGCATTATAATAAAAGAGGAACAAACTTATCTTGTGGTCAGAAACAATGTTTGCATTTCAAAGTCTTTACAACTGCGATTGTTTTATTTGTAATGGTCTATAGGGATAGTATGAAACATTACTGTACATATAGTAACAAAAAAGCAGAGTCATAACTAATGAAACCAATAGACAAATAACCTTAAACTGCTCTGCCTTTTAAAGCTCTTCAAAATGGAAAAAAAAGTGAAGTTCTGATCAGAATTACTTTACGTATTTTAGATCAAAGTGATTCTTTTCTCAGACACATCACTTCTTAATTACTTGGTTTGGTAGGGTCTTGACTGAACGCTTAAGAAAAATCTCTGGCGAAACGAAAGCACACTTCAGAAAAGAGATGTTCAATGGGTTTTGATGTTTTCTTTGATTAATTTGAAGTAAATGTAACATGTAAAGACTGTTGCTCAAATGACCAAGCCAACTGCTGATGTTGAAAAATACCACCATAGGTTTAAAAGTTAGCTACCTTCTGATGGCAGCCATCTTTCTTTTTCCTGCCAAACCGTGCTGCTAGTATTCTGAAAATGTCCAGTGCAAGACTTAAAACAGTAGCAAAATTATTTGGTTCTAGAGTTTAAATGCAATCAGAAATCGAATAGAAGTTACTGTATGCACTTTAAACAGTGGCTTTTGTATTAGCTTGCTGTTACTCCTTAATGATGGTAATGGTTTCACGTATGTATAAATAAGACATAGTAGAAATCTGATACTTAAAAGAAATCATTAACACACAAACATGACGTACAGATCATTTTCTGAACAGTGTTAATACATAACAGTAATTCTAGTTTATGAAGAACAGAATTATGGTACATAGTATAAAATTAGCCATTTACTTTGCAAATAATGTTTTCATAATATGGGGAAAAAGGCCAGTTTTCCCATTGATAACAGCAAAATTTAGGCATTAAACATGCTGTTTCAGTGTTTGTCATGACAAGAGACAGGGTTAAAAGAAAAGAAAAAGGAAAAATAAAAAGCACAAGTTATATATAGGCAAAGCAAAAATATCTGAAGATTCCATTCATATTTCACTTTGACTTCTTGACTTCTTTTTCCCCTCACAGCATGGCACAAAAACTATACTCAAATATAAAATAAACCAGAATCAGGAAATGCCCAGCAGTGTACTTCTGGTCTTAAAATCCAGGGTGCCAAGAGGCCCTTTCCAGACTCTGTGAACACAGTTTTCTAGCTTACGTTCATCCTTTCACGAAAACTGACAATGTTCATCATTTTTACTGGGATTATATTTCATCTGATATAATTAATAAACACTGTAATGAACATAAATTGCTTAGACAATTTCATTATTTCATCAGCATACTTGAATACAAAATTCATTATACTAGAAGAAGAATAATACACCTGCATTATCTCCTGACACACAGCACAGCACCATTGAGTAGATGCACAAGTGCAAAATGAAACAGGTGAACAGGATAAACAGAAGGTAAGTAGTGGAGTTACTTGAAGATACATTAGTGACATGCAACATGTTTCTTGCCAGCATGGCATGACACTTCTGTAGTTATTACATTCAGCTGAAGAGGACTGCTTTCCAAGAAGAGTTCAGGAAAGGGTTTAAAGCAGCCTTTTGTTGAAAAAAAAAAATCATCTGATAAACAGCCAATACAACACATATCCTGAGGGTGATTAGCTCATGTTAGCATTTTGTGTGTCAGAAGTTAAACCATTCTCAGAAAAATTACTAAGAGTCTCATACTTTTGAGTTTGTTGAGAAACAGAATGTACGACTGATTTCATAGCTTCAGCGTGGAGAAACTATATTTTAGTAGCAGTTTCGCTGCCATTAATTTACACATTGACTAAGAAGCCATCCAGTACTGTTGAGGTTCATTGTCTTAGTTGCCAGTGCATACACAGTCCCCCAAAAAATGCAACACACCTATTGTAAAGTACAGCATAAAGTCCAGCTCATTATGTGTTAGGCATCACTGGAACACCTGAAGGCTTGCTGCTTTTTTCCTGATAAAAAAGGTATGAAACATGACATCTGTTTCTTAAGTTGTCATTACTGAAATCAGAGTTTTCAACAAAATGACAGCAGGCCAGAATAGCATTTAACTTAACAGGAAATTAATAGTAGAGAATTTCAGCACAAGCTTTAATTAACCTGAAATCTCTCTGTTCCCCCAAATCTGCAAACATAACATATTCCCCCCCATGGGCATTTGAAGCTAAAAATGTATTATAATTTAAACTATATTTGAAATGTTACGTAAACTTCCTTCCAGACAATATGCAATATTGAGGAATGTTATTTTCCAAGTATAGGCAGGTATGTGCATATATATATATTATATATATATATTATGTATATAAAAAAATACACACCCGTGTGCACACATACACACACACTTTTTTAATAAAAGACACTCAGCTGAAAATGGAACATTTCTTTTGGAAGCAGGAACGGTCTCAGCTTGTGCCAGGAAAGGTATTTATAGTTAACCAATGACATACTTTTTCAGCTTGCATGCATAGATGAATTCCTACAGACCGCTTTGCATCTGAGGCCTAGCAATGCAGTAAACTACATACTGTTTGTACCAACCATAAAGCTGGATATTATGAATCGTGAAAATGGTGTCCTTTGGTAGAATTATAAGCTCCCATAATTTAAACAGAGTATAAATGTTAAATAATGGGACAGCTATATTCCTGGAATATCTGCCAACACTAAATCTGACAACTTGGCAACAGTGTCTACATAAAAAGTGTAATTTGTAAACATCCTAAATTAATACAATTTTAAAAAAAAGCAGATTAAATAGGTATTTACAGATGTCAGAACATAATTTGTAATTAAGAGTATTATCAGGATGAACAGTACTTATTTTGTAGTTTCTTATAAAATATTACAGATTTATATTGAAGCATTTGAGTTTTGGTATATGCACTCTTAGGCATTTTAAAATTATACAGTGGAATCCTGTAAGGAGTATAACTAAAAGATCAGCCATTGCCTAAAGGCAAGTTACTTCATGTTCGTAAGGCGCTGCAAAGATGTAAAGCGCTGTATAAATACTCCATGTTGTTATTTAGTATTTTCAAAATACATTTTTGGAAAATTAGTGAAAACAGACTTACTGCTACAACTCAGCAAATAAAAACTGCCTGAAATCAGCACTTTTAAAAAAAATAGTTTTTAAAAGTTTCAAAATATCTATAAACATTTGAGGTCTGTGTAAGATCCAGCAAAAGTGGAAAATTTAGTTTGCTCTCTATTCCTTCCTATAAAAAACACGCGGGAACTGCAAAACTTCCACAGAGTCATTACTGGTAAAGTAGTCCTGAATCAAGTTCTTTTGCTTCAGCAGTTATAAACTCTTCTGGATAAGTTCTTTACTGTGGCCAAGGCTTACTTCATGAGCCAATGGTCAGATAATGCTTTCCTCCTCATTTCAATTGCTTATGCATAACCACACAATTATATTTGTCTGAGAGTAAAAGGTAAAATTCAGGACATAAGCATTACTTTAAATAAACACACAAGGGCATCATTTAGGAGTTTTCTTAAAAACCTATGTAAAAAAACCCCCACAAAATTATACCAATGCCCTTTCAAAGTTACCTTTAAAATTATTGGTTTGCATCTGTGGACACCGAACAGAAAAAAAAATAAAATTTGGAAAGCCGAAGTCATGGAAATATTACATTAAAAATGAAAAACATGTCAAGACTCATTTTAGAAATGGGTTAATGAGGAACTGCTACCTAACTCCTTTCTTTCACTCATTGGGTTGTTTGGTTTTGCTGCTAGTTTCATCACCAGCAACATGCATTCCTATGTTACGCACCATAGGATAGGGAAAAGCTGCACTGCCACAAGTATAACTTAGATTTGCAAGCCGTGATAGAGCTTTAATGCTACCTGGAGGTCTCCCTGGGCTGACTTTGTATCCTGCAGCTTTAGTTGTACCCAAGGGTCTGCCTGGACTTGTCTTAAATCCAGCTGCTTTGGTGGTCCCAAGGGGTCGACCTGTGCTGGTTCGGTACCCTGCTGATTTTGTGGTCCCCGAAGGCCTTCCGCGTTTGCCAGACCGGTTAAGGTTTTTCTTTTTCTTTAGTTCATCTTTTGTCTCTATATTCCTGCCACTTGCGGTCTGCAAGTGCGACTCATTTAACGTGTCTTGTCTCTGGCATGCAATTGGTTTGTGGCTGACTGCGTGGCTGTATTTGCTTTGCTGTGTGGAATATAAATCAAACTGGTCAGTGGCTCTCACGTTGTCTTCATTAAGGCAAGAACTCTTGCCAGTCCCACAGAAAGCTGTATTACTGCTGGCAACAGGATGCATCATTTTCTACCAAAATAAACAAGACAAACATGTATAAATATAACATTCAACAGGAAAGCAATCACGTTTCCAATAGAGATACAGGCTCCCCAAAATTAGTTGGAATTGGCTTGAATGCCAAACACTTAGTCACAACAAGACATCCTTCAAATTCCAAAAAGCAAAGGGTGCCAAACAAGTTTGCTGGGGGGGTGGGCTTTGCATCTCAGCCTCTGTGCACAGACTTCAAATAAACCCAGAAAAAAATCCTTATTTAAACAAACAATGCAAAAAACACATTAAAGAAATCAACAACAGAAGTTCAATGATCAGGGCTTGAAATATCACACAGACAGTAATTTTGATATTTCTCCAGGGGGAAACTCATCTAAATTCTAGCTATTATGGTCACAACAGTAAGCTGTTCAACACAAACCAAGCAAAAACCACCATAGTCGTATCTTCCTGATTCAGCAGATAGAAAGAGCAGAGCCATTCAGCTGACAGCTCTCTACAGCAGGAGAGGAAAATCAACAAGCTGATCAGGTTTATTGCTACTGCCTAGAGCCTTGTGAGCAATGCTGAAAATAGTCAAGAGCCAGCCCACACAGTTCCACTCCAAAGCTTTGAAACCTCAGCACAAGCAGATACCGAAGCTATTCGCCGGAAGAACTTCCCCAATACAAAGACTGAGGATTAAGCAGTGATTTTACTTCATTTCTTCCCCACCCCACTCTCCCCCAAACCTAACCAGGTTGCAGACTAGGACTGAAAAGAACCAAAGCAAGAAAAAGCTTGCTTTCTCTCGGTTCAGTGACAGGACTCAACTTCAAAGTTATCAGATACCCACTAGCTGAAGCAAACAACCTTTTGCTGAATCAGGAGGGCTCTCAGCTTTTTCGTAGCTGTGGTTTATGTTAGTCTACTTTAAAAGATTGTGATCATGCTCTTAGGATAGTCTTTGCAATAAGGCAGCGGAAGCAATGGGTGGTCAGCACTTTTACAAAAAGAATCACATCAGTTACTACCAGTGCATTTTCCATCTACAAGCACATCTTAAGTTACTTACCAAGAAAAATGTCAGCACATGAGAAATCAATGAAACTTGCACTTTCAGAGCTAAGCAGAGGGAAAATACGTGCTACCAGACATCAAATTCTCATGCCCAAATTCAGAATCACAACAAATGAAACACAAAACACATGAAGATTCAGAAAACTCCCAGAAACAAACCTACCAACTTTTTACTATGAAAAAGGTATAGATAAGGTATAGGTGAGTTAAAGTGTGTAATTTTCTTATTGCACCTCAGGCACATTTGTGTGAGGTGCATGGACTTGCACTGACATTAATAAATTTGTATGCAGCAAAGGGAGAAGATTATCCATAATAATTAAAGAGTGTCCATGGCTCAGGGAACCTGCTGATATATCCTATCTTGTGTGCCATCCTTCCACATGCCTTATTACACTTGTGTGAAATAACATTTTGTATTTACCTGAAGACACGGGATCAGATCTGCCAGCATCACACCAAGAGCAAATATGAAAATAGAGCTAGTATAACTAGCACAGAAAGATCACCTTGCTACGGTGGAGAAGGAACAGCAGGTCCTGCACCAACCATCTAT